CGAGATTATCATAAATCTCTTTCCCTTCATTTTATTATGAACTCTTTATTAAGGCCAAATCGAAATCACCAAGGAATTGATAATGATATTATCAGGGAATAACTTTCTAAGCAATTTGCAATTTCTCTCAACATTAGTAACACACGCAGAAATATCTGTATGTCCCCGGTATTGTAATACGGTATTATTGTCAAGCTCAAAGGGTAAAGATCCAAGGGTGCGCATGTTTTAGCGACTATATATAGATCGACATGTGTTTTGGGACTGGCCCTCGACGACCTGCATAGTTTCGATAATGCGAGGAGGATTTTTTCTTTTGAAATCCGAAACGTCGGGATAATGAGCGTGGCGCTCGCCAACAATTAGTCGACAGTTTTATTGGTCGGCGGTGTAAAATCAGCTGTGCTAAGTGGATTCCCAGAAATTAAAAGCGGACGCAGATCTAAATTGTTTGTAGTTGCCCGCCGTCTGGTCTGCCCGCTCGAATAATGCTGTAAGGGCGCTTTTTAACTCGTAATCCTAAACGATCGCATGTAATTGAAACCTAAGGTCACTCGCAAATTGGTCAGAGTCAAAGGGTTGCAACGCTAACGCATGCGACATGTACTGCAAAAGATATTCTATTTTTATGTTAAAAAGCTAGCGGAGATTATCGGAATTTAATTACAAGTTTAATCCCATAAATTTACATTTTTCAATGTGAAAAAAATTATCACAACTTAAAAGAAAAATGTCAGAATTTAAAAAATTTTAAATGTTTGATAGAAATTGTGCGCAATTATGTTTTTATTTGCTATCATCAAGAATATAAAAGTTGACATCATGGTAGTTAATAAATAGAACTGCAGCTCCATTCCATGAATCGTGTTTAGATTGTTTAGTGAGAAAAAGCTAAAGGGTGTTTTCCGAAACATTCTTCTTCACAATGACGTTCTGTGTGACAACGGGGATTTTGAGAAGCATTTGTGCGCTTGTCCCATGAGAGCAAGTTGCGAGATGTCCCCACTTTCGTCTTCTGCTCCAATCCTCCCGTGACTTTCTGGTTTCGTTTTTCCTTGTGACAAGATTCCGCTGGCAGGCGAGTATCAGTCAAAACACAGTATCACGTGGCATGAATCCGTCCATTCTGTCATGGGAAACCCGCGCAGGAGAAAAGCTCTCGCTCAGCGAAGATTGTCACCGCCGAATCTTTCGTACACGTGCTAGGAAAAAAAATGAGAAAAGATTTGACGGGAGTACCGCGCGGTTCCCAGAGGTGCCGTTCGACCCGACAGTAAATTACAATCGTATAAATACTAGGAACGACAATAAGGTTCCACGACCAAATGTATTTAAAATGAATTTAAGGAAAATTTCCGAATAATTTGCAATAATATGTCTCGTAAAATATTCCAGATATTGCTTTTATCAATTTTCTTTAAATTTCTGCTATATTATATATATAATTTTTTGCGAGCACGCATAACTTTATTTTTTTAAAAGATATTTTTTAAACGAATTCTTGGATAAAAAAAATATACGGAAGTCCCGAAACATATTCTGCGAAATGCTATATCAAAAGAAAACGCGTTTTTTTATCAATGCAATTTACTTCGCAAATTTTCTGACGACAAGAAGAAAACGTGTCGTCGGATTCCGTCGCTTGGGTTTTCACTTTTCAACCTCGACTTGGATCAAGACGAACAGCCGCGACGTCAGTGAAATTGCATAAAACTGCAATTCAGAATGACACACTAATACAATTTGCGCGAGGTCGCGATGATGGCAGAAGAGACATTGCTATCCAAATATAAACGAGTAAACGGATCAGTCTGCCGGCCGTCTGGTTATTTATCCCGCTTTTCCTAGATTATCCCGAGAACCCCTTGGCTGACCGTTCGGTTTTCCGCAGGGCCGCATGAATGTAAAGGCACGCGATGAATAATCCGTGCCAGCTTTCAAAGAGAGACGCCTTTTGTCGCACGCAGAAAATTTAGCAAATCATAAACAGCTAAGATAAGACCAATACTACCATGATTAAAGAATCTTAATGCTTTGAAGTCTTATATTTCAGAATGAAATTGAAGAGTTGTATGTGTGTAATAAAATTGTAATGAAAAAATTGTAATAAAATTATGTGTGTGCATAAAAAGGGCATCAATTTTTTTATAAAATTATAATTTAAAAATATAAAGGAATAAAAAAAAATTTGCATTTGAATATATAGAGAGAAATTGACAGAAGTTAAAATATTAATAATTTAAGCCATTCACACGAAAAGAGGATAGCTAATTATATTTGAGAAACTATTATATTTTTAATAAAGTTTGTGATATATACATTTTTAAACTTTTTGAGAGTAATTTAGAGAGCAAGTGTCAAAATTCGGTGAGGACAAAATTCATTTATGATTTATTCGAGCAAATATCGTTCAAACAATATGATTAATTAACGTGTTATCGTACGTAAGTGAACGCAATACGTAATGATCGATGAGACCGTACGTCCAGTATTTAATAAATGTAGCCGATGCTAAAGATCGTAGCAATTCCATTTACGCAAGGGTCGTGCTGCACTTCGCGCTAGTAAAGATAAGTTTATAAATACTCCCAGTTTCAAAATAGACACCGGACAGTTTGCGTACGTCGCAAAGCGCACAGAATCGTTCGGAACTCGACGGAAATTCAAATATCTCCAGGCATGCATCTTCAGTAATCTATGACGGGCTAAGGGATTCGGGCCAATTTCTCATCGTATTTATCTTCAAACGAAATTATTCTAACTCGTTGTAAAAATGCTCAAATTGTACGAGTACTTGAAATACGCTGTATTAACGAGTAAAAAATTATAATCGTATATTTAAAAGAAATTAAGTGGAAAAATTCCTGTTCAAAATTTTCTTTATTTAATTAGTTTCTTGTATCATTAGTGCACTTTTTTACTTTTAAAGCGCGAAAGCACAAATTTCAATGAACGTTATTTAGCGTGTCTAAAATCTTATATTACTTTTAAAGCCAAGAAAGCGTTTTCTTATTGACAATTTTTCTAAGCTCATTTTTTATTTATTTCATATTTTAAAAAATCGAACATATCGTTAGATTCTATTCACTATAGAAACATAAATGATATTAATGAAATCTAGTAGATCTAACAATTAGTTTTATGTTACTTTTATAGCCAAGAATTTTTTATAGCAAATGATCTGTTTTTTTTTTAATCAATCCGATTGTTTCCCAGTCAAATTGTCTAATATCTAACATATCATTAAATTTTGTGTTTACTGATGGATGATGAAATGATTAGGTAGTAAAACTACTAGCAGTTATAAGATTTTACGTCGGTCACTTTCAAAGCCAAGAATTCTTCTTTATGACAGCTCTAGTCGCACTCCCGTCCCAAATATTTCTTCGGTCCCGGATATACGGTTCCAGCTGTAACTAGGACCGCTCGGTATTATAAATCAAAAACGAGCCGCGCATTTGTGTGTGCCACTTTTCGTCCATGGGGCGGCGCACTTTGACAGAAATTATGGTCGACCATATGCTGATGTAAGGGCGTGTAGAGAGATCACTGAAATATGAACAAAGGCGCGTTTTTACAATCCGTTAGTTCTTGCAATCATTTGACGAATATCTTTGAAAATCTCAAGCTGAAGATGTCAACACGTTTAAAAAAGAATAATTTTTTAGTCTCTTTTAAAATATACTTTCAATTTAAAAATATTTACGTATATCTAATTAAAAAGTTTATAATGCTATTCTGATTTCAAAGTATTATTTATTTATTGGCTTTAAAAAGAACTACATGAATCAATTTACATCGTTAAAATGTTCCGATAATTATTTCTAATAATCTAAATATACTTGTTAAGATAATATTTAGTTAAAATGAACTAATAATGAAGTTTTCCAAAATTTGTTCATTTTCTCAAAATTTAATTTTATAATAATTATTGTTTTTGTATTGAAAAAATATACACATTATCAATAAATAACAGTATATGTAAGAATATTTTAATCCGCGCTACTCATTTTGCACAATTAGCAATATATTAATTTATTAATATTTCGTAAGATTCTACATATTTTCGCCAATGTCAATAATTAAACATGCCACTATGCATTCATGCAGTACGCACATAATATAAATGATAATATTACATCACTCATTACGTGACTTACTGCTTCTTCTTCTAGCCGCAGTATTTGCTGAGAGGGCGTTAATGCACAGTGACTTCTTCAGGCTACGCAACTTCTACGAGATCAGCTGTTTTCGATCAGCTGTTTTTAATGGTGCCCGGTACCCATAATTCTGCTGTTGTACCATGATTCTGATGGTAATGCCATTGACAATAATTCCTTTTTGATCAACCGTCGATCAAGTAAACATTTCGAATACATTTTCCCAAGGAATCGATATTACGATAGTACCATCAAGGGTTGTGTTCCAAAATTTACTCCTTGGAGTAGAATTGCGTCTGATTAACCAATCAGGACAAAAGAAACGAATATTTCTTTGTTCTGATTGGTCAACCAAATGCTATTCTACTTTAAGAAATAAATTTTAGAACGCTATCCAGTGCACAAGATGCTATCAAGTGTATCTAGTCGCGCGCACGCTCAGAATCCAGTTGCATCGGAAATACTCATGAAATAGAAGCCGCGTAGCGTGGTTGACGAATTTTCTGCCAAATTTTGAGAACGTTGCGGTTGTTCAGGCTACAACGATGGCTTCCGCCGGTGAGTACAATCCGTTATCTGATAACATATTGTTGATAACCTGTCATTGCAATGCTAAATGGTATTGTGTGTGTATTGCGTGATGACACATGGCGGCATGTTTAATTATTGACACAAGAACAATAATGAATTGATATAACGTTAAGAATCATTGGCGGAAATATATAAATTGCATTAAATCATCATTATTGCGCTGTGTTGTATCGTTACGTCATTTCTTAATTAACTGTAATTAACTATATCAACAAACATATAGCTTACGAGAAAACGCAGGCGCTGCCATCAGAAAAGGTGTACTTAGCCAAATAATCTTTTATTGATAATTTATATGCAGAAATATGCGTAAGATTTTGTCCAGACATTTATAAGTTCACAAAATGTATAATTACAACATTTTAAAATCCTCTTTTTTTCATTAATATTAATAAGTGTGATAATATTGATGAGATTGATTGATCTAATCTTGATTTTAAATAATTTTGTCAATCTTTCCCTCTCGTCATAGATCTTGTTTTCAGATTTGCACTCCTCTCTTATCCTTAATTGCATATCTGATCGGCAGACACGTAATTAAGACTCAGTCGAAGGATTAATTTTTAGTCATTTACTAATCCTTTACTGCCTGTTATAATCAACTGATGATCATAACGGATGTATACATATAGTCCTAGAATTTCTCTACAAATAAAATCTTAAAGGGAGAATTGTCTTTTCCTGGTCACAGTAGGATTACCACGTACACGAATGTACATGTTCATTTTAGTTATACTTTGTACACTTATCGTTAGAATAAAATCATGTTTTAGAGGAAGAAAGAGAGAAAGAAGAAAGTGCAGCTGAAACGAACAGATGATCCATTGAAGATGTCGCTTGAGTTTATTTTGGCGGGAAAGTTACGCGGCATTCGCGGTAGCCTGTCCATTATCGTTTAGTGTAGTATCATCTCGTCTGTGCGTTATTCCTTTCACGAGAGAATAGAATATCAGATATTTTCAGTTTGGTTCGTACTTTGAATCAGTGTACCAATAAATTCTGCGATATTTTTTTGTTATTCAAGTTTTCATTGAACTGAATTATTCACGCAACGGTCGAATACTTGCTATAAACGAGTAAATATCAGGCTTTAATATATCGTGTGGTAAGTAACAAAGTGTACTGATATCAAGTGAAAATTAACGTAAAATTGTCATCTAATTGAATTTCATATTGAAAATTATGCACTGTACTATATATATGTTATTTTATTTCGTAAAATATTTTATTATTTTCTTTTATAAATAGTAAATTGCATACTTTACGAAAGTTATTTTACAATTAATTGATTACTTTTGTTTTATTGTAACGAAAATAATTCTATTGTTATTGCATTGTTATTTCAATTACATTGTGCAAAAGTCATACATATTTAATTGATAACATTTATAATATGATGAATATAAAGAAAATATAAAATGAAAAAGTATAAAAGAAAGTTAAAATGACAATGAAATAGAGCAAATATGTCAAGAATCTGATTGCTAATTGTTATTTTTTTAATATATATGATTATTTTCTTTTACATTCTATAGTTTCAATTACAAAATATAGACATTTGAAACTTATCTACTCTGTTGATAAATTAATTCTAGGAGAAGTTATCTTGCTTGTTTAAAGTTTACTGTTTCATCATGCGATATATTTCTTACTAAGTCATAAGAGCATATTCTTTACATATCTCCAGTACTAGATAGTGAAATCAAGTTCATTGTCTGCTTAGGTAAAGCAACTCTTGAAGCTTTTATAAAAATGTCTGGCTCCGTTAGTAAACTGTATAAGCGTCCATTCACTGTATGCGTTGAGGGCAATATAGGCAGTGGTAAAACAACATTTCTAAGTCACTTCAAAAAATTTGACAATGTCACCGTATTTGAAGAACCAGTTGAGCTTTGGCGTGATGTGTCTGGAACAAATCTACTGGTGCGACAAAATATTTTCATATATGCCAAGTTGATAGTATAACGATTTAATGTTTTCTGGTTATCTAACTTCATTGATTTATAAAAATTTCATTACACTAGTGATAGAAAAGATGCTACATTAAAGAAAATAATTTAAACATTATTAAATATAATATAACATTAATACATTTTACTTTATTAAATGCATCGTGTATAATATGTTTTCAATTTAATAATACGAATAACCAACATTATAACGATACATTCCAGGAATTAATGTACAGTGATCCATCTCGTTATGCTTTCTTGTTTCAATCTTATGTACAATTGACCATGCTACAATTACATACTTGTAAGATACCCTCACCATATAAAATTATGGAGAGATCTGTCTATAGCACAATGTGTTTCATTGAGAATTTAAAACGTAAAAATGTACTGCATAAGTCTGAAGTTACTGTCTTAGAAGACTGGTACGACTGGTGTTTAAAAAGTGCCAATATAGAAACTGATTTAATAGGTATATATAATTTTATATATTTTAGGAAAAGTTGTGTTATTATAATCAAAAAAGATAGTATCATTAATATCCCGTTTCCTCTTTTTTTATTGCCTGAATAGTATATCTGAGGACAACACCTGAGATTGTGTACGACAGAATGAAACAACGAGGTCGGAAGGAGGAGAATGCAGTTTCATTGGAATATTTAAAGCAAATCCATCAGATCCATGATGACTGGCTTTACCATCAAATTCTGAAACCAGTACCAGCGCCGATTATAATCATAAATGGTGATCGAGAGCTCCATGACATGGTAGAGGAATTTGAAAAGTGTAAAAATGAAATTTTCAGCAAAGTAATAGAGGATAACGATGTAAATAACACAATGATTACAGTACCGACAAATTGCGTGCTACCAGAAATTAAAACTGGAATCTCAGATTAAAATATATAGAATAATAAAAAGCCAAAAATATGATTTTAATTTCTATGGTTAAAATTAATTATGTCATGCATTTACATTGATTAATTTTTACATACAAAAAAAAATTTTGGACATTGTGATATTATAATTTTACTGTTGCATATATATATTTCTTTTCACATTTTTGCATAATAGTATATATTGTATTTGATTGATATAAAATGTTTCGATAAGATTATTTCACAACCACTACAGTGTTTAAATTACAAAATTAATTTTGAAGTTGATGCATTTAAGTTATTAAAAAGATATTCACATTTGTGATGCAACATATATTTTATTGAATTATTATTGACGCTTTTATTAGAATTTTAAGAGTAAATATCTATCTAATGTGCATTTATAATGTCTGCGTGTATAACACTAGATATAATTAACTTTTTATTAATGGACAAGTACAAAATAATATAAAGTAATTTCGCGTATGCTTTAATTAGGAAATATAAATATCTCAAAGAAAGATGCACGTAGGACGCAATAAATATATGTACAAAAAACTTGAGAGTATTATGTGTAAAAAAGCGCAAGCGTAAAAATTATTAAAAAGATTATTGTTAATGCTGAATATATTAAAAAATTCTTTTCTATCTTTTTAATGGCTGTTTCGTAAAAGTTATAAGAACATACTGAGAATAAATATTAATTTATCTAAAATATAAAAATTTTAAAGAACACAAAAAATATAATCATGGTATAATAACTTAAGAGAGAGAGAGAAGAATAATACGTTTATAATTATTATATATATAAGTATATGCATATATACATGACGCGCTTTAATTTTATATTTTCGAATGTGTGTGTACTCGTTTGACTACAAATGAAATAAATAAATTATGTAATATTCTGAAAGAGAAGTGTTGTTTTTTTTTTATTATTATTATTTCCGCCAGATTTTACAGAATGGATGATAGAAATGTTGTGCATACATTATGTGTATCGCGCAAAACAACGTTAGATTCGTCATATTAGTGTCCGGATATTATTAACCAAATCATGCTTCTCTATTCGAACTGCAGGTTCAATGTAATTCCGTGCAATGCCAAATCGAACAAAGGCTAAATGTGAATTAGCCTTTAGCTGAGTCAGCAGTATTCCGTTTGCCAACCCGAATCCGTATTAGACGAATGTGAACGTTCTTCGCGATTGAAATCATACGTACATTGTACGTCTATAAACTACATGCTAAAATACGATATGTATAAAAACAATGGAATGCTATTTCGAGTAAAAAAAGATCACAATCGTTCACATATATACAAATATTAGATAGAAATTATTTATGTCGTGCCTGAATAAAATGAATTTTTGCGAGCTGCGGCTAATCTCTCGACACAATCGTACTCCTGACAAGACCACAGTATACTGACTAACGCGCCAAGTTGGGCATCCCGTGTGCTAGCTTGCTTCCAATCGAGCAGCAGCTGATAGATTACCTGAAATTATTGTATACAGATGAAAATCAACGAAAATGATTGTTATTAATTTTAAAGATTTATTTTGCAATATTTGGCTTTTGAATAATACTTAATATTTTTATTAGTAACTATCGCGAGCTTGTCGGGATTGTATTTTGATCGAACAAGAAGATTTACGAAGATTGCGAAAATCGATGATAAATTATTTGAACATTCGCGATTCTTAGAGAACTGAGTTAAATATATATTCACCTCGTCAATACCCTTGTGCCTGTAATTCTCTTCGAACTGCTCGATCTGCCCGTCCGAGTACGAGAGCCTCCTCGCGACGTCCCGCCATCCGCGTCCAATATGCGTCTTAATAACAAGCATATCGTCAAACGCGATTTCTTCTTCGCATGTGCTCAACTCTTCCACGTTTTCCGGCATCGAACGATACTTGGGCTTCGACCAGGAAGCCTCTGATTGTGCCCCGGATGCGTTATTCGCCGGATACTGATTTATATTGCATATATAGCTGGTCCGCGAACCGATCTTTACACCGTTCGAATTGACGATGTTGTAATTTATAACGTTCGTGCCTTGTGCTAAAAATTGATTTCAGATCATTATTGAAAAAATAATTAGCTTTATGTAACTGGATAAACTTATAACTAAATAGAATATTTATTGAAGAAGATATACTCTCTAACAATAAGATACTTTAATAAAACCTTTTCATAATATATTATATAAATGTTTTTGCAGTCATGGGATTCGTTAAGTATTTGCTTTGTTCACTTCTTTAACGTAGGTCTTTAGTGGTATTAGTCTTTCATAATCATTATAGATGCAATTATAAAGAGATTCGCATTCTCTATGAATAATTATCGTGTAACTAAGGCGCTTAACTATCAACTATCGTATATTGTATTAGTTATTCTATCATGATGAAGAATCATGAGATATAAAACGACGAAAGGTATTAAAATTTCACGATATGAATATCTTATATATCGTTGCATATGATCAAAATTAAAAAATAAGGCGAATGGAATAATTTATTTGCGGTTTTTGAAACGCCAAAATACATGACAGCAAAAAAAAATATCATTCTTTTTTTATACTCTTTTAAAAATAAATATTTACAAATAAACCTGTGACTTGGTATTCCCCGTTGAGTTTACACAGAAATGCAATCTGGAATTGGTACAGTGTATCTCATCGTGATAAGACACAAATATTATCTTAATCGTAAAGGTTTTTATAACAGGAATATGAAACTCATATTTTTTTATCTCATAAAAAAGTCAATTTTAACAAAATCGCAGTTTCTTGCGCGGTAATTTTGCTTTCTCATAATTCCTCTTCTTTCAAATTCTCGTTAAATAAATATATGTTCAATTTCCCGAAATGCTTAGCGATTAGCATTGCTTAATTTCTTTACGCAAACATTTTTTTAATTGCATCGTGTCATTTTTCCATTTGTGTAATAAAGTGTATTTCCATTTACAAAGCTAAGTCTTAATCTAGTCGTAAAATTATATTTAAAAAGTTTCCAAAAGTTTTCTGCACAAGATAAGTAAAAATTTATATTTGTGCAAATTTTCCTTATTGCCGCTTTATAATCTTTCTAATTATATCCATATCACTCGTTCATTATAAAGAAACAAACACATTTTTTTCTTGCGCAAATATATTCTTTTTTGTTATCAGGCTACCTGTAACTTTGGAATAGCGTACAATAACAGAAAAAAATGTTTGAAATAAAAATATGTAAAAATATGTGAATACTAAAAAATTCGTGGCAATGGCATATCTTAAGAATTATACTTTATCCTAATTTGAAATATTAGTGTTCACGAAAAATAATGTTGCAACCGTTCACTTAGCATTTTGTTTTCATTTTGTTAATCCTCTCTTCATATAAGCAAAAATTTAAAAGCAACAATTACTTGATGCATATAAATGATAAACTATATGAACAATAATCAATCCTATCATAGCGCATAATTAATATAGCACAGAATAACATTCCTGCACCTCTCTCAAAAAATATTCCTCTTATAATTTACAATATTTACTATGTTTTGATTTCGTCTTCGTCCTTGGTCGTTTGTACTCTTTCGATTCGCTCGTGGTTTCCTTTGTGTCACCAAGGTCTTCCGGTTTCGTGGAAAAATCAGTGGGCGTCGTGGGTCTCGCGTCGTTCGGTACCGATTTCTGTCCTTGCATCGTAACATCGTCGTCGTGTTCCTTTTCCGGCGTAGTAGGTGTCGATTTAGACTGTGTTTTTCTCAATTCCTCGTCCGATGTCGGTGGAAGATTGTGCGTGTAGCCTTTGATTTCGGTCCGTGGCGGATCTGGTTTCGCATCCGTCGTCAACATGTCGTGAAACCGGCGTGATAATTGGGACAGGATCGGCATTTTCTTAAACGCTCGATGTGCCTGAAGATGACATCTTATCATTAAAATGCTTCGAAAATAGAATCAAGTTCTGGGTATCCTGTTTTCTGAATGAAAACAAAGTGAAAATATTTATTCTGTGTAAATATGGATTTATAATATTCTAATTCTTTAATGAAATGTACAGTCCATTATATATATAGTTATTAAATAAAAAAAGAAAGGAACCATTATATCTTTTTTTAATTCAGCTCATGTGTTGTCTTGTCACCAAAAAAAAAATGTGTGCGATTTCTGAGACATATAGTATAAATTATAGATCATGCGTTTTCAGTCTTACATCAATATTGCATGTGCTACACGCGATGTTATTCAATGCGCTGCGACTAACGTCAAACTTTCAAACTGTTAGACACTCCTTTCATTGTATTCCTCGTTAAGTAGATACATCTAATAACCAATTCAGTAGTTTTCTCAGTGACGTGCGTTTGTACGACTCGCATTCCCGCATTAGCATAACAACAACAAAAGATATGACTACGAAACAGATGTCTATGAAAGCGCATAGAAAAATATATTTCTGTGAAGTATATACTTCACAAAAATAGCAAATTGATAATGCACAATATGTTTAGAAGAAAAAATTAGTTCATTATTTTTTTTTACACATTTTTCTTTAATTTAATTTTGTCCTAAAAAAACCTTTAATTTGATAATATTCTGGTTTATATCTCTTTATCAATTATAATAATAACGAAAATAATATTTTTCAAAAATTAGTTTTCCATAATGCGTATACCGAGGATGAATAAATCTGTTTTCGTATAATCATGCATGTATCATTGCCATAATTATATGCGATTCTGAAATTAACGATCTATTTATTTCCTTGATAATTGCGCCTCATGCTTCCGGCGCTATTATCAAATGCTTATTAGCATGTATCATTTGCTTGCAGAGTATTCTTTGAATATATGTCGTTCTACGAGCAGATTAGCAATATAAAACTGAAGAATATTATTATATGTGTATATATATTATATATACAGATATCTACAGATGATTTTATGTATCTGATGTAAATCTAGGAAATTATAGCAAAAGTTATATATACAGGAAAACATATTTGAAACCATAAATATTGCACAATTATTACATTTATCAAATTTAATTAATTTAATTGTTATTATATATATACTAGTATTTATTCACAACTAGTTTCTGTAGATATATATAATATTTATGTATATTAATGCAGTATCCCAAAGCAAAAAAAAAATTATTTTCATTCATTATTTAATTTAAGTGTAATGGTAGCTTCAACGTATGTCTTGTAGTTCTTTTCACATTGCGCTAAAAAATCTATCTCGTGATTTGAATATTGGAAATTTCTGCGTTTTGCATTTTGTTCATTTTTATATCGATAAAACAGCAGTACGGATAAAACCAAAACATTATCAGGTTTTATATACGTGATCATCGCTTAACAAAATTTGTTGAATCATCCGACGCAATTCTCCTCGCGTGAGCATTTCGCGATTGAAAACTGTGTAGGAAATTCCGTCATTTGCCTTCGTTGTGATAAAAAAGCCGAGATTACGTTTTGACCTGCGCGGAAAATTTTTAAATGCCTTGCCCTCAGAATATATAATCTAAACTACTATATAAATATCTAATATGCAAAACAACGCGTGTATTTGGCTCTACACATCTCTCATTTACCTTCAATTAACACAACTTCGCTGATTGCTCCATATGGACATGTTAATTCGTCAATTATATGCAGAGTCCTGACTAATTTCGGAGTATTCCCATTTTATAAGCATTCTCGATTTTCTTTTTAAATAAATTCGAGACTACGATTTTTTTCTTTATGTAAAAATGTAAAGTTACATTTTATGATAATATTTTGTTCTAGTGTTAAGAAAACAATAATTTTCATTGCTTAATATTAAATTACACGGTCGATTTTGAAAATAAAGGACTTTTTACCATTTTAAACTTTTTATCTTGAATAATTATATTAAATTCATTAATTAATATATATTTCAGCTTTTATACAAAATATTAAATTTTTGGGGTTCTCATCTCTGTTAAAAATATTACGAAAGAGCATTGCTCCAAATAAAATTTTTGCTGAAGAAAAATCTTAATCAAAATTTATCAGAAAACACATCCCTAGCTTTGATAGTTGGACTTGGAAAATTTACATGCGCGCAAAGCATCTTGTACATATCTTCGTCGATCAAAGCATAAATTAAATCTGTTCCCGCTTGCTTACGAAGGTACATACAAACTAACTGTTTCCCAGTATTATATTATTTGCACTGATAATGCGGTTACGCGTGTATCTATTAAAGATGGAAATATATTTTTAACCATAGTTACGAAAGCGCACACAATTGCATACGTGTATTATCATTGTTCCGTTTCACTCGGCCATGATAAAATAATACTAATAAATAAATATGTTCTTAATAAATTCCGGTGCAATTATACAATTTATATATTGTAATTAATAATAATCTTATAATCTTTTATAATAGAGCAGAGAAATTTTTTAGTTAATATAAGAACGAAAAAGAGAGAATATATTCTTCCAATTTTAATTCGCTAATAAATTATATTTTTTTTATATTATCACACACAACAATCTTTTGTAAGTAGATAAATATGTAGAGAGAGAAGTAAGGAAGAAAGAGATATCGTTGATATTTCTTGATACAACACATGATGATTTCTAATATTTTGTGATAAAGCGGAAAAATTTTAATTACATATTCCAATACATTGCTATCTTCTATATTCTGTTACATGCATATACAATGTTTCTTGTCATTATCAGCTCACAACCATAGTTGACATGCGATGTATCTTTAGACAGCATAAAAGTTTAATTTTTTTTTCAACAATAAACAGGAAAGTGTGATATATGATATACAGTATTTTATTGAACAAGAGAAAAGATATTTGACATTTGATCCGGGAAAAAAATCGTCTCAATTAGAAATTTCAATTAGAAATGATACACACTACTCTCTCGATTTATGTAATTAGTAAAACAATATGAGTCGAGTAGAAGGAGGGGGAGGAGAGAGAGAGAGAGAGAAATATATTTCTATAAAAATATTTAAATATAAAAATGAAACAGTATTTATAGAGTTTTCTGTGTATATTTGTACCAGAACTATTATTTATATATATTTTTTCGAAGATTCCACATTGATTGCACATTTAATCTTTCTTTTACTTCATCTCTGTATTTTTAAACATTATATTTTTCAATGCGTATATTTAAATATATAGTATTATATATAAATGTATGTTTTAAAGTATGAGACGCGCACATATGAATTAAATGAAAAAAATTTTTGCAATCCAATAATCTACTTTTTTATTTTTTAAATGTGATAGAAACATCTTATATATTTCGTTTCACATTTAATCTTTGGGTTCGACGCAAGTGCCACACCCTTATCGTGCATATCAGTAATATTCTCAATTCGGTGTCGTTTTTGTGAAATAATATTTCTAATATAATAATTAATAAGCTGAAAATTCAGCATATATCACGCGTAAAAATGCTATTTTTTATTTCTCAAAAATTTCGATAAGATACTTTTCTCGGTTCTCGCGCGTTCTCTCTTGTTAACTTTGGACGATTCATGTTTATGAAGCATTATCGGTTTTAAGCGCTCGGTAAGCAAAATTATATTTTCTTGTATCTATGCCGGTGAATTTAATCGAGAATTTCAGATAAGTCACCCAAGCATAAGAATTACACAACACGTTTCATATAATGAATTTATGTATACGCTATCCATTAAGTTTTTGTAGCCTTGCTAAAGATGCATTCAATCGTAACCAAATGTCCGTGAGAAATGAGCAAAATCGATTGCTCATCACGGAAAAACACAACATTATGAACCATGTTGACATTTATATCTAGCATTTCTTTTAACGCTTAATCATTTGTCTAATGGAAAAAAATAAACGAATGATTAGAATAAGAAGCGAATTATGAATTGTGACATGTGTGCTTCAAGTTAATTAATCTAATTTTTTAATATTGTTTTCTGTAGCAGTTAATTAAAGTGTCACATGTATATTTAATTTATTAGACAAACAACGCTATACGTGCTAATGTGTTGACCTCTTTATTGACTCGGATATACATAGCGATGATTATAACGAAGATAAGAGCGCTAAAAGAGGACGTGGCTGATTGCCGAGTGCCGTTGACATCGATATATACAAGGTGGCCCCGAACGTTCCAGCCAGACTTTGAAATCTTATCGGAAATTTAATTCTGAACAAAAAATTTCCTATAAACATGGGTCGAAAAATGCTTTCTTAAGAAGTTATCGCTCAAAAACGTCTGAAATCGTGATTATTTTACACATTTTTCCAAATATCATGGAAAATGTGCGTCTTTTAACAAAAAGTACCGAAACAAAAGTTGTAAAAAATTAAATTATCTTTCATATGAGATCAAAATGATTGTTGTACGTTCCATAGATTTTGATATAACCAGTTTCAAACGTACAAAAAGTGCTTTTGTTACTTATTGTTAGATGCGTTAGATTAGTTTTAAAAAATTTATTTTATTTTCATAAAAGAAAAAGATTTTTATTGTTTATTTTTATCGTTTTTTCAAGAAATTTATTAAATTTCATTTTCTTTTTATTTCATTTTCTTTTCACCTTTTGCTCTTCCTTTACATCAGAGGTTTTTAAGCAATAACTTCTTAAGAAAGCATTTTTCGACCCATGTTTATAGGAAATTTTTTGTTCAGAATTAAATTTCCTATAAGATCTCAAAATCTGGCTGGAACATTCAGGGCCACCCTGTAGATTCGTATAGAACTCATTCGGCGATCATGGTAAATAAACAGTTGCAATGTAGATGTAGAACATTTACTATAAAAAATTTCTTATCTAAAGAGATGTAATAATTTTAGACTGCAAGCATATAATTAAAGGATATATAATAATATGCGACTGCATTATCCAAACGTTGTAATTATTTATTTATCTATATATAAATTTATAAATTTTACAAGGACCAAAATATTTAAGACTGTTAAATTAAGAAAAATACTCCACATAAAAAATATCATATACATATATGTATATGTATGAATGACGCAATTACGTGTAAACAGAAACCAGTTTCAAATTACGGAATTTTAATTAAGCAGTTATTTTAGAGAAAAAAGAAAGGAAAGAAAGACGGAGAAACAGCATTCCATATTTATAATATTCACAAAACAAAGCTATATAAAAACGCAAATGAAGAAAAGAGCGATGACCCATACTAATATCTAAATGCTTTTGTAGCAATATATTTCTACAGCATTGCTTCAGCAATTATACCGATTTAAATACCGCGCAGACAATGCGAAAGCGAGAGTACAGCAAATTTTATTCAACCTGTTGCATAATTATGTCCAATTATTTTGATTGATGACGCATCATGATACGCAATATACTTTTTATCGGGTAGTCTGAAAATAGGCTGTTTTTTTCGCGAATTGCTTTGTGCGGGTCGGTAACTTCATCGCGTCACCGGCAAGTACTGCACATATATTTGCACGGTTCAGTGACAATCAACGTGCATCAAACGAGACGTATGTAGGTATGTGTATACGTACAGAACGGCCTCGCTACCTGGGTTTTCCAATGGCAAAACCAGTTCTTCATTCTACGTCGGCGATGCTAATGAATTTGATAGCAAACGACAAGCAGACGCAGAATGGAGAACAAAGCCTCTGGTTTGCCAATCAAATGGCAATAGTTTACAGGAATATACGTGAAAGATAAAATTTTAGCAACAAGATTTCTGTATAAGGTAGTCCTAATATCATATATATCATAATCGGGTTTATGTGATCTAGAAAGATCTTTATTGTTTTTTATGTGTAAATATTTATATCTATCATTAAAAAAAAGCAGAAGACGCTTCATGTTTCGAAATCCTCGCTTCGAAAATTTATTCTATTTTAATCATTGTTGTTAGTTAGTTTTCAACATATGTATAATGAGCATAATTTTAGCTTTATATATTATTATCTGTATTTGAAAAGATTAAATTTTGAGGAAACCAAATTTATAGTTACTGCCATCGATAAAAACGTTAAAACGATAATAATCGTTAAAACGATAATAATGCATAGATCTTTAACAAAAACAAAAAATAGATTTGTATATAAGATGTTTATAAATATATTTATCTCACAATCTTCGCTAAATAATTTATTAACAATAAGAATTAGAAACAGATTCTGATTTTTCGAAAAGATCATTGTTCGCAAATGCGACTCGATAAATGCAAATATGCAATTTGCAAGTTTTTTTGGAATTGCTAATCGATATCCATTAATGAAGAATATCGGTAAAATTGACAAGCGAATCTAATCATAGTCTGCAAATTTATTAATGGAAAGCTTTAGAACCGATGATGATTTGTAGAAGATTTAGATACAGATTCACAAAACGGATAGAAAAACTTTAAATAAATATCGAATGATAAACAGTCATTTCCAGTCATACGCAGTAATTCTGGCATATATATGAATCGTCTCGAAGTGAGGAGCATAGATCTCCAAAAAAAAATTTTTGAAAAAAAAAATTATAAATAATCTTTTACATATTATTATTAACACCAATCTAATAATTAATAAGTCATAATATATAATCATAGTATCGAAGAAGTTTTATTGGTAGAATATATTATCGGCCACAAATTTATTATGCAACAAGACAGAACTGAAGAAAAACGTTTGATTTAAAAACGTTACTTTTCACGTTACATATGAAGCAAAAATATGGATTCAATCGCTTTTATGACAATATTTTAATATTAATAATTTTAATGCGATATATATTTTAATGCATAATATAACATATAATTATACTAGTAATATTAGTATTCTAATGCAGCGTGTATAAATACGAACTTTCTATGAAACATACAGAGAGCAGTTTAAAAAACAAAGTACATATGGTGCGGTGCCAGTGTGTATAATTATTTAATCTAGCATAATAATTTATCGAGTTTCGCCTAAAATCAGTTCCTAGAACTCTCATTTATACGAATCATTGATAAAAAATTTGTTTACAAATGTATTAAACGATCAGAACATATTATAGATTCGGTTTCGTTCCATTAGTTGTTAATCTACTTGATTTTATTAGCTTTATATTATGAGGAAGATAAATATCTCTCATAATTGACTCGATTAATCGGAGAACTCGAACAATAAGTTCAGTGTGAGTCGATATTTTTCAAAAATTGAAATCTTGTTCGTTATGAAAATTAAATTAGCCGAGAAAATCAAGCGGCTATATTTAGTGATTAATGTGAGGACGATGCCCTCGGCGTAATTTTTAATCTTCTAAATTCCGTCGATTACAATAGAAGCGCATTTCAAAACGAATGCATGGTATTCTTGCCACAAACTGATGATAAGATAAGATTGACTAGAAGTTCTACATCGGCAATTATTCGATTAATTTATTTTAATTAATGATTAATCATTTCTCAATTTTTGTTTTACGTCATAATTATATTGTAAGTGAAAAAATAATAAATTGTAAAAAATTGGTTAACGATAATAAATAAGACCAAGAGTGACTGCTCAACATTTTGCTTCTTTAGCTTTAATAATAGCTTGATACTAATATCAGTCCGCGCGACTTGGAAATAAAATAATAAATTGTATATACACTGAAACTGATGATACGTGTTCTTCTATTTCAGTATCAAACCGCAGAACGACATTGACTATTCTGGTCGCAAAGTGAGTAAAAGAAAACAAAAAAAAAATGTGAATGAAAATTATCTATGCGACTGATTCAAGATTGCAAATTCTTCAACGCAGTTGAACTTAGATATTTCTGTTGTATAAAGAATGACGAATAAACTCTTCGCATTATTATTCAACATCGCATTTAATGCTAAATTGCTGCAGTTATTTACAAGTGAAAGGTAAATAGCGATAATTAACACACAACGCTGATCCGAATCATATATTTGTATTATACATATACACATATATATTTTTTATATATTTTCAGGGTTATATTATTTTTAATATACTAACGTATTAACGTGTATTGTTACAGCTTAGAGAGCCTCAGGCTTAATACAGAGCCTAATAATAATTTAATGTGCGTGCAGCATAGACACGCGCATAGAATGGAAAAGTCATTTAACGTTGAATACGTGATACAATTATAAATCAGAAAGCGATATCTACAAGAAACCGCGATGAAGAAGAGGAAGAAGGACATTCAAATCAAATTTCAATCTAAACTGTAAGTTTGTTTTTTATAAACTGTAAAACATGTTGAAATATGAAGGATAAAAAAATGTTATAGAATCAGAAATGACTATGCGATTCGAATATCATATAAACGGATTTCTCTTACAATATTATTTTTCAGATATGATAAATAAAACTATGTATATATGGTAATATTCATTGTGCCTCACATACGGAATACGAGTGATAATTTATTCATAATATTACGCGTGTTCCGATTATATATATATATATATATATTTTTTTTTTCAGTTAACAGCTGAATGATAAATCGAAGTTTTAATTATTTATCTATCATTTATCTATCAAAGTATCGAGATCAAATGAATAAGCAGATTAGTATTATATCTGACATATCAAGCAATTTATTTGCATCGAACGTTATCGTTCATCGTACCTTCGTTTTTGCACTGCGTTTCAATGGTGTAAACGCGAGAATTAACTATGAGTATACCAACATAACATAATTCCCATATCAAGATTTGAATTATCATTCATTGTGTGCGTAACGTGCGATACACGCGGAAAGCATTTACCGTGTATTAAAAACACAAAGAAAATTCTCTAAAGTTTATTTGAAATTACGAGAGTAAAAATCTCGCGTGTGAGTTGCTTGCGATTGTAGCCAATTATCCGTCACAGTCGGTTTATGTATATTTATTCTTTATAATTTGATTGTCATTCACGAGCAGATTACACATTGATTCAGACAACAGAAATATCTACGAAATGCAGATGAAGAAGTCTGACAGACATCCTAAATTTCTTTTCGACATCTTTGAAGAAATCGATGTTCTAAATACTCAATTACACTC